GATCCCGGAGATCTAATGATAAAAAGGGATAAATTCTTTATCTGAAACTCTTACGGAATGATCCCGGAGATCTAATGACAAAAAGGGATAAAGTCTTTATCTGAAACTCTTACGGGATGATCCTGGAGATATAATGACAAAAAGGGATAAAGTCTTTATCTGAAAAAGTTTTTGCAAATCTTTTATAAGTCGGAAAAAGTGTCATGTTTTATGCAGAAATCAGCTAACTTATGTTACACAATAATACATTAATATTTTGGATACAAATATGCGCAAAGATTGTTGCAAATTCTAAGTTTATATGTATATATGATTTTATTTTGCTGTAGATGGAAATCGAAGACCAATGAGCCAACCCGATCAGTAATTCTCCCAGCCTCAAGCGTTCTCTCAGCATGGCTGGCTCTATTGGCTAAGGAACAAGGTGTTACAGTACTAATTGTTTGTTTGTGTTATCATCTTCAGCTAGTTTGCGCACGCCAAAGGGAACGGTTTGTATTACAATACTATTATTTACTTTAATCAGTCTTGTTATATTTTTACTACACTTGAGTTGTGAACTAAACACAATACTATTATTTACTTTAATCAGTCTTGTTATATTTTTACTACACTTGAGTTGTGAACTAAACACAATACTATTATTTACTTTAAAAAAATATAACAAGACTGAAAAAATATAACAAGACTGACTAAAGTACATAATAGTATTGTGTTTAGTTCACAACTCAAGTGTAGTGTATTGTGTTTAGTTCACAACTCAAGTGTAGTTTTAGTTCACAACTCAAGTGTAGTAAAAATAAAAAAAGACTGACTAAAGTAAATAATTGTATTGTGTTTAGTTCACAACTCAAATGTAGTAAAAATATAACAAGACTGACTAAAGTAAATAACTGTATTGTGTTTAGTTCACAACTCAACTGTAGTAAAAATATAACAAGACTGACTAAAGTACATAATAGTATTGTGTTTAGTTCACAACTCAAGTGTAGTAAAAATGTAACAAGACTGATAAAGTACATAATAGTATTGTGTTTAGTTCACAACTCAAGTGTAGTAAAAATATAACAAGACTGACTAAAGTACATAATAGTATTGTGTTTAGTTCACAACTCAAGTGTAGTAATAATGTAACAAGACTGATTAAAGTACATAATACTAAAGTACATAATAGTATTGTGCCAGTCTTGTTATATTTTTACTACACTTGAGTTGTGAACTAAATACAATACTATTATGTACTTTAGTCAGTCTTGTTATATTTTTACTACATTTGAGTTGTGAACTAAACACAATACTATTATTTACTTTAGTCAGTCTTGTTATATTTTTACTACACTTGAGTTGTAAACTAAACACAATACAGTTATTTACTTTAGTCAGTCTTGTTATATTTTTACTACACTTGAGTTGTGAACTAAACACAATACTATTATGTACTTTAGTCAGTCTTGTTATATTTTTACTACACTTGAGTTGTGAACTAAACACTTTGATGAAATTTAGGACAGTCGTTTTAAAGATATAATCATTTTAAATATGATGTTTTCTTTATAATCACCCAATATATATATAAAGTACAGAAACATCAAGGAAAAAAAACCAATATACGGTTTTCCTTCAGTAGTCTTTTCAGAGCAAATGAAACCAGTCTTGATTAATGCATTACAACTGTAATAGTAATGGAACAGCTGAACCATATTGTTTGAAACTATTGACTAATGCATTACAACTGTAATAGTAATGGAACAGCTGAACCATATTGTTTGAAACTATTGACTAATGCATCACAACTGTAATAGTAATGGAACAGCTGAACCATATTGTTTGAAACTATTGACTAATGCATTACAACTGTAATAGTAATGGAACAGCTGAACCATATTGTTTGAAACTACACCTTCAATCTTTAAAACTTAGGCTCTCTAGTATTACAAGTCTTTATTTAACTTTATGAATTTACTTTTGCCTTCTAAAATACTATAAATGTTTCCCTAATAATTTTTTCTGTTTCGTTAATTTGCATCTGGTCAAGTAATCACTAGATTTTCTCTACCACTTATAACGTCCATCCACTTGTAATTTTATAACGAAAGGAAAAACCCAAATCAGTAACCAATGTTTGAAGAGATCGAACAGTTTTTAGTTGTCATGATGATTCATGTATTACCAAAAAAAAAGTTTCAAATCTCAACATTCTTCCCCCACATCAGGTAATTTATAATCAGACACATACAAAATGAATTAGGGTTATTAACAACACGATTAACATTATTAATACCACTTAAACAAAGCAACATTTATAATTATACAATCCTATATTTTGTTAAAAAATCTTATTTATGTTGTTTCTTTAGATTAATATAATATGTGTTTATCTGTGTTTGTGTTTTTTTATAGCAAAGCCACATCAGACTATCTGCTTTGTCCACCAAGGGGAATCAAACCCCCGATTTTAGCGTTATAAATCCGTAGACTTATCGCCGCCCCAATGAGACATTTTATTTTAAATCTATATTGTTTACTGCAGTTGTTTAGATAAGGGTTAAACTAATCCAGTTTTACGTTCTATTAGTAAAGAGGGTCTAAAATGAACAATAACTCAAGATAATGGCAATCCTTTACTAGATTACTAAAGACGTGTCTGTCTTTATTCACTAAACTACGTTCATATGGTCCTACGTGTCTGTCTCTATTCACTAAACTACGTTCATATGGTCCCACGTGTCTGTCTTTATTCACTAAACTACGTTCATATGGTCCCACGTGTCTGTCTCTATTTACTAAACTACGTTCATATGGTCCTACGTGTCTGTCTCTATTCACTAAACTACGTTCATACGGTCCCACGTGTCTGTCTCTATTCACTAAACTACGTTCATATGATTCCACGTGTCTGTCTTTATTCACTAAATTACGTTCATATGATCCCACGTGTCTGTCTTTATTCACTAAACTACGTTCATATGATCCCACGTGTCTGTCTCTATTCACTAAACTACGTTCATATGATCCCACGTGTCTGTCTTTATTCACTAAATTACGTTCATATGATCCCACGTGTCTGTCATTTTTCACTAAACTACGTTCATATGATCCCACGTGTCTGTCTTTATTCACTAAATTACGTTCATATGATCCCACGTGTCTGTCTTTATTCACTAAACTACGTTCATATGATCCCACGTGTCTGTCTTTATTCACTAAATTACGTTCATATGATTCCACGTGTCTGTCTCTATTCACTAAACTACGTTCATATGATCCCACGTGTCTGTCTTTATTCACTAAACTACGTTCATATGATCCCACGTGCTGTCTCTATTGTAGGACCATATGAACGTAGTTTAGTGAATAGAGACAGACACGTGGGATCATATGAACGTAGTTTAGTGAATAGAGACAGACACGTGGGGACCATATGAACGTAGTTTAGTGAATAGAGACAGACACGTAGGATCATATGAACGTAGTTTAGTGAATAAAGACAGACACGTGGGATCATATGAACGTAGTTTAGTGAATAGAGACAGACACGTGGGATCACATGAAAGTAGTTTATATGGATTATCAAAAATACATAAAGAATGGCGTTCAGTTAGATTAATAGTTTCTAATTTAAGAAATCGTATGTTCTCTGGCTCTGGTACTAAGCACAGTTTCTTGAGTCATTAGAATTATAGCTATATATACATATTATATATACGTACATATATGTGTGTGTGTAATAACATTCGTGAGAACTGAATATTTGAATAAGTCATTGCTACTGTTAGTTTCAATACTGAATCTTTATGTAATAACTTACTCTTTACAAGAAACAACAGATTTGTGTAAACAATAAGTTTTGTCTCTACCGATGTTTTAAATGACTTAGAAAAAAAATATTTTTCCACAGTTGAGTTTAAATGGCGAGAAAGAGTCATTACCTGATTAACGGGGCAGTATGGGTTCAAAGTTAGTACCAATAATGGTTTACTTTTGTTTATGTTTCTATAACAATAACGAAGATAAATTGATCGCTCTGGAACTTTTATATCTTTTTATTGCAAGAAATATTGTTATGAGACAAAAGTCATGTGACTTGGTTCCATAAAGAACTAATAAGTAAACATGTTAATGTTACGATCAAATATTTCCAAATCAAAACTAGTTTATATAGGTACACTTGCTTATTAATTATAGTATTTTGGCACTTGTGTATAAAGTTAAAATCATAAATACTATTCAACGTTAAACTGGTACACAATTAAAAACATTTTATTTAGGCCTATCTATCTCCTGAGGATGACGTTGTAACGTCGAAACATGTAGAGTCGTCAACTTTTTGAAGGCCATAGATAGGCCTAAATAAAAATTGTTTTTAATTGTCCTCAGTCAGAGCACTTCCTCCATGCAGTACTTACCTTCCCCCGTTTTCTTCTCGTGAACTACGAGGGTAACTTTC